CCCCCGCCGTGCATAAAAAGATGGCGGTGTAATTTATACGCAAGATCCGCCGTGCTTCTTCCCCGGAGCTTTCGCGAACCACCCCCGAGGCTGAAGCGATTCCAAACGGGAAACCGAACGGGGCGAGTTCGGCCTGTATAATTAAGGCAGACGCGGTTAATTGATTCCTTACGGACGAGATATTATGCATGTTGCATTACACTGTGGTAACTAACGCTCCCCCCTTCCCCCACTTCTCTCTCGAGCTTCCTTGCGATTGGAAAATTTCACGCAGAACCGCGCCGAAGCGCGGATCTTGGAGATTTCGAAGGTTGCGCGAATTATGAGAAAGAGAGAGAGAGAGAGAGAGAGATAAGAGGAATAAGAAGAAATATTCTTGTGGTACACACGGAAAGAACGTAGTAAGTATATAGCATGTACGCAATAAGTATGCTAGGACTATATAAGGCAGCTAATGTATCAGAGTGTGAGAAAGATAGAGAGAGAAAGACAAAGGAGGAAAGAGAGAGAAGCGCATTCTCGCGCACCGAGACAAGGTAACGAAAATAAATCGCGAGCAATAAGGAAGAGAGACTACAATGTACACGCGAGGAATACAAAGTGTACAATTCACACATTACAAGATACCTGGACAGACGTGAGCATTACGTCAGTCCATCGGATCCTCTTTCTCTCTCTCTTTTTTCTCTAATATATTCACGTCTCCGTATTTTTCTTGCGCGCGAATTTCACGCGTTTCCGCGTCCCCCGCCCTCTCCAGCAATTAAACAATGTCCCGCTCTCGCGATAGTTTGCGTTCCTTCTTGCTCTCTCGCGCGAGCATTTATGCGATCGCCTTCCTCTGCTTCTTTTATCTAGCACACACGCCTAAAGCTTAGTTTACAATGTGCTCTTCGCGTCTTGTTTCTTGCTCCCCATCTTTCTTTTGTAAGAACTTCTATTTACCCATGGGAAAAAGACAGAGAGCAAGAAACGGGAAAGAGCACATTGTAAATCAGGCTTAACGCGTATCGCCGCTTCCACCTCGACTGTTTCATCGTCTCTTCCGCGACCGTTTCCTCGGCATCCATCCCTCCCGATGTCCCCGGCCGGCCGCCGATCGGATAGAAGTATAAATGAGGCGACGCCGACGCAGGACGCTCAAGTTTTCACGCGGTGCTCCATCATGACACGCCGTGCTCCGCTCATTCAGATACTCGTCTGCGTGACGCTCGCCGTCGCGATAGTCGCGGCCGATCAAGGTGAGCCACAAACAACACACGGCCGATTCGACGGGACGATTCACCGCGCGTGCAGTATACACACACACACACACAGGAATATTACGCAACGATCGATCAGCGTTGAAAGCGCGCGAAGGCGCGTCTGACCGGGCGACACGAGCGTGTACGCGCGATCGATTCTGTACAATCGACATTCGAAACGTTCGAAACGACAATCTGCCGGTAAATGATTCAAGACGCATTATCGATGCTCTGTTACAACGATATCGACTCGAATTTCGATATTAATTTGGATATTAATTCAATCATCGATTAACCGTATTCGACGGCGTCGCTAATCTCAGCGTTGACGCGGCGTGGTCGACATGACGGCGGTGAGTCAAAGAGAAATCTCAATTGCCTTTGGGTCAATTAGGCACAGTTGCATCAAACTCCGATTAAGCTGAGCGACGATTAATTTAACAAAGTCGCCGACCGGAATTTCCGTTACGGAAGAAATGAAGAAAGAACGGGAGTTAGAGGTTTCAGCTGCGATCCTGTAAGTTCCCGGGAAAAATATGTTCCATGTATAGAAATATAGAATTACGTATGAAGTGGTAGTACAGAATTATATATAATCATATAATTATATATTTATATATATGGATACATTCTATATATAACATTATATACGGGAGATTTTTCCTCCGGATTATAATCGTTGTTTAATCAGAATTTGATGAACCGAGCCTTAACTATTCAACATTTGTCGCTCCTCGTTTCTGCACGATTCTCCCGGAGGGATCGTTCGACGTTAATTCTTGCGATGTTCGTATCGATCAAGTTTACGATCGTTGACACGCGCACGTGAGCGCGCGATCGGTAATCCCGAGCACGCGGAGAGCGATACGTCGCGCCACTAATCGGTCCATTTGTCCGGGAAGATATATATATATATATACGATATTTTTATCGGACTTCTTTTTCTCCCTCTCCCCCTCGATCATCTGTTTCCTGCGAGAAGAGAAGTGCAACAAGACGAAATGCCCGGGCCCGTTGAAGTATTATGACCTTCTCGACTGTAAGCCGGTGTACGACAAAGAGGACGACTGTTGCGCGACAAGGTACAACTGCGATCACTTGGACGGCAGAGCCACGGACAAGTGTTACGTCAATGGCAAAGAATACGCGGTCGGCGAGAACCTCAAGGACGAGGACGCGAATCCTTGTGACATGGCATGCGTTTGCAGGATGGACTACGAGGGACAGTACGTACATATATACACGAGTTGAACTCTCGGTCGACACTTTTGCGAGATTAACGAGACGCGGGCGGACTTTGACTCGAGCCGCGGGAATAAAACGTCACTTCGGCAAACGTCGACCTCTGTCTCTCCATATTTCTCTCTCTCTCTCTCTCTCTCTCTCTCTCTGTCCTCCTTTCTCTATATATATGTATATATGTATATACATATGTATATACATACATAAATATATTGCTATTCTCACCATTTCTAATTTATTCTATTATCTACCTTTTGTAATTTCATATCATGCTCTCATCAACGATTAGATGACATCACTTCCCACACAATAATAATTGACAATGTTCTTGTATTACTTCATTAAGCAACAAAAAGTTCTTCGTTACTCTTTGTGACTTATATAGTTCCACTCGTTTATTTTCTAAAGAATTCAATATTCCAACGTATTTAATTTTGTTGTCTAATAATTATATTGCTACTATTTATGCCAGTCTTTATATCATAATGTTTGGAAGTATTACATAGCCTTTTTAATCCACAATCGTTCGTCAATTGAGCATTTTCGTTTAATCTTGTCTTACTTGTAACTCTGAAGGGTTACCTATCCCAGGGGTAAATAAATCATTCTACTCTCTCTCTCTCTCTCTCTCTCTCTGTTTCTCTCTGTTTCTCTCTGTCACAACCTCAGGTAACAGCGACACGCTAAGGAGAACGCATCGCCGATTCCGCTCGGCTGTTTCGCATGATTTTACCGCCAAAGAGGGGTCCACCGTTCTCTTGCGAATAACGCCGCGATCATGAATATTTAATACGGCCATCAGTCGTTCCCAGTGCATTTTCCTTCGATATTATGAAAAATTCATGTACAATGTCACATTATTCAAATTACGTCGCATTCTCTCGTACGCGACGACAGTTCGGGATTATACTGTCACAGAGAAAGGGGGGGGGGAGGAGAGGAGACAAAGGGAGACGGCGGGTAACACGTGCTGGAAACGTGTGGATGCAATTCGCGCTTGCTTTCACGAGCTTCCCTCACACTCGGCGGGTAGTTTCGTTCAGACGCTACTTGATCGAACCGTGCAATTTCTTTGAACAGTGCCTCGTTCTCGTGCGCCGTCGTCGATTGTTTCGGCCCACCCCCGAAGCTCGGCTGCTACAAACGAAAGTCGCCGTTGAGATGCTGCGACGGGGAAGAGATCTGCCGTAAGTAAATGTGTATATCACTATGCAAATAGAAATTCACAAAGGCGGTGCTTATACAAGAGCCGGTGATCGTTTACGCGAAAGCTTCAGCCGCGTCGACGATTGTTCGGTATAATCGAGTATGTTCGATATAACAACACGCGAATAGAGCCTGCCGCTGCTTTCAGCCGAGAATCCAGAGGACAGGGCTACTTGCGTCGTGGACGGGAAAACGTACAAGGACGGCGAGTATTTCACGGTGGAGGATGAACCGGACACCACCTGCATCTGTCAGCCGGGATACGAGGGTAACGATAATATTTCCCGTAAAAATGATTCACAGGAGCGAACCCGAGTCGAAATTTGTATGTTGCTTTGACCCCCTCAAGTATAGTTTGCACCTATTTAGATGACCTATCTACTATAGATGACTAGTGAAAACCTACTTTAACAATACTCTGACACCTGTTAACTTCTCTCTTGAACATTCGATATCTGCACAGCAGAAAGATTAGTGTCAATTTAAAATTCATATTTTCACGTATAAGCAAGAATATATAATCTTTTAAGAATATACAATCATGACAGAAAAATATGAGTAAATTATATTATTAGAATTCAATCGATTTCGCTGTATCAGCTCTTACTGTGTTATGAAATTCAAGATTCAACGCAGGGCGAAAATTTCGACTCGGGAATCTCGACGCGTTCCGACTCGCCTCTGAGCGCTAATTGTTCGCAGGTAAAAACGTCGAGCCCTTCTGCGCCAAGCCCAAACGGCCGTATTGCAGCCCTGATTTCCGCGACGCTTACAGCGTCCGTCAGCATTGCGCGCCGGTTTACTACAGCAATCAATCGCCCCAGACCGACTGTAACCTGAGCACGAGATGCCGTAAGTTTCGCGATTCCGTAGAGCGTTTGCACCGTACCAGTGTGTGCACGATAACGCCGACGATAACGACCTCCCTCGAATTCTTGCAGAGAACGCTAACGACACCGTCATTCACAATGGCGACAACTTGAAGTCCGCCGAGACGTCGGATGGTACGTTTTGACACTCTACGATTTTTGCCAAGAATTTCGCGCGAATCTCCCGCCGCAAAAATCGGGATCGACCGGCGATTCTCGCGCTTTTATCGATCCCCGCTGGCGCGGCAACCACGCATAGCGACGGAGTTACAAACGAGGCATTGACGTGCGCGCGCGTTTCGGTGTTCACGCGACACTAATTACAACCGCGCGCTACAAATCGCGGCGAATACAAGGTAATTACGGCAACTATTGCGCGCGCGAGCGAGGGTGAACCGGGGAACGAGCGGGAACGATTTCCGCGGCGTGTTATATTATATTATGATCCTATCAAACGATAACTAATTCCATCGCCGTTCACAATTTGTCGATTATGGAAAATCGCGTTAGAGCGGAATTTTAATTAGGATTCGCGCCTGTTAACGTTCGCGTGCTCGTGGAAGTGCGACGATTGTATTCTTTCTTTTCTTTTTGTGTTTTTTTGAAGGGCAAAAGGTGAAACGGGTCGATTTTGAAGCGGCAAATACAAATTATTTTACCCATCGTTCTTTCGCGATTTTTAGAAAGGATTACGTTTTTTTTTTTTTTCGATGATTCTCGCGTTTTTTTGAAAGAATTTGCGGTTTCTTCGGGAAGATCGCGATATTTCTCGATGCGTGAAATCCCCGGCCGATTTTTTTTCGGCGATCGCAACAGAGGCAGCTGTGTGATCTCCCGAGACTTGTTTCTTTCAGAAAAGAACGTGTGCCTGTTCGGCGACATGAAGATGCATCTCGGCGACGAGCTGAATCAAGCTACCGACTACAATTCCGTGTGCGTCAAGTGCGTTTGCGAGGTGCCGCCCACTGTGACCTGCCAGCGTCTGCCGGATGAGGAGTGCGACGTCACTAAGCACCCTCCGTTTAATAATTAATCGCCTTTATCTTTCTGTGATACCGTCCAATTGTTTTTGTTTCGCGGCTTGTTTTTTGTAGTAAAGATTTCTTCGTTCGACACTTTGTTCGCACGGAGAACAAACATGCTGATCGAACCTTTCCTCTGTCATCTCGCCTCATACGAATTCGATAACATCGGCGGACGACCGAAATGAAGAAGAAAAAGAGAGAGAGAGAGAGAGATAAAGAATGTAATTTCATGATTTTCCAAAACGTATATAAAGCTTGATTTATTTCATTGTTAATAAAATTGTAATTGTAAATGTTAATTATACAATTACGCTTGTTTAATTAAACTCTGTAACATGAGCGTTGCAATTTCTCTCTTCGTGAAGACAGTTCGTCTCATCTCCAACTTTCTCTGCTTCAACATTTCCACGGTTATCGACCCGCTGATGCGATATTCATCGGTCGAAATATTATTAAGTGATATTCTACTACAGAGAAAATATATTTGTGTGATTATATATGTATTCGTGGTTAATTATCCAATACTCTCCATTCCCTCGTATTTTACATCCTGTCAAGTCTGCCTACATTTGACATAATAATAAATATACTACATTGAAATAATGTCCTCATTTAAATTGTTATTTTCTTTTGTCGTGATAGAATATTCACACGATCCGCGACAAAGAGAATAAGAGAGATCGAAGCGTATTGTCGCATGTTTTACATACTGATTAAAAAAAGTGTATACAATATTACGTATCATGTACATTTTAATGTAACTATATCTTTTTTTTAGCTTTTAAAAGACAATATATTAGCTTTATATATATATATATATAAATTTATATAAATAAATAAATAAATAAATAAATTTATATAAATAAATAAATAAATAAATAAATAAATTTATTTATTTATTTATTTAATTATATAAATTTATATATATATATATATATATATAAAGCTAATATATTGTCTTTTAAAAGCTAAAAAAAAGATATAGTTACATTAAAATGTACATGATACGTAATATTGTACACACTTTTTCTTCTAAAAGCTAAAAAAAAGATATAGTTACATTAAAATGTACATGATACGTAATATTGTATACACTTTTTTTAATCAGTATGTAAAACATGCGACAATACGCTTCGATCTCTCTTATTCTTTTATATAAATTTATATAATTAAATAAATAAATAAATAAATTTATTTATTTATTTATTTATATAAATTTATATATATATAATCAATAAATTTATTTATTTATTTACTTATTTATTTATTTATTTATAAAAAAAATTATTTAGTTCTAAACAAAATCGTACAAATAGGACTTTTTAAATCAAAATACGTCTCTCAAAATGTCTCGATACCAAACAACTTGCATACCAAACATTTCTCTTCATCTTAAAAACTGTATTTATATCGGGTGACCGATTTTAAATAATTCACCCTACATGAGAACGTTTTAAATTTACCTTCAGATGCTGTACGACTCATTTCATTGGCTGCGTGGAAGCATCTAAAGATGAACCAAAGACGGTCTTAAATATAAAATCCTACCGTGAACGCCAGCCTTAGAGTTGCGAGCAACTTCTGAGCAGCGTTTCATCCCATTTTCGGGAAACACCCGCGCTATTTGCCAACACAAACGTTATACCGGCTCGATTACGATCGGGCGGAGCCGCGAATAAAGTACGTCGCGGGCGCTATTATAGCGTGACGTTACGTCGTTTTTCAACATTAACGTGACCGTAACGCGGGCTTATTCTCGTGGTTGATCCTCGCGCTCGTAATTCTGCGATTACCGCGAACACACGGATGTTCCCGCGCCACCGCCGGCACCGTAATAATCAGTTTGCACTCGGCGAACCAATTCCCGCGTTCTGGACATCGTCTGTGCCAGCAGGCAGGGTGCGGCGCCCGTAAACCGGCAACAGAGTCGTTTACACACTCCGCGGCGCCAAACGTTAACCCATTTCTCATTTAAACTTCTAAGTGGTTTTACCGTTGACACTTTGCAAGCCCTCGCACGCGGCTTGGCCCGCGCGATTTATCGCAATGCGGTCGAAAAGTCTCCCTCCCTCCCTCTCCCTCACGATCGTCGTTTTCCGCAAAGCCCGCGCGTTAACGTTCACGTCGAGCAACGAGCGCGTGGCTTTTAGCGCGGTTCTACACGTGAATCGAAACGGGGAAGGACGACGAGTAACACGCGAACCTCTCAATTTACTGATACCGGCTTATCAGCTTGTGAAATATACACGGCGAATGGAGCACGAGCACGAGCGGAAAGCTGCTCGAACGAGCCGCGGGAAAAAGATGTCGTGTGAAATGTAGGGGGGGGGGGGGGAAGCACAAAACCGATATGCCATTTTACTTTCGGGCTCTGAAGCCTCGTTGAAAGTATACACGAGGAATAAAATTAGTTGAATCAATAAAATATATCAACGAAACGTTGATGTCACGGAGCGCCGTGAATACCTGCAGTCAATTCAATTGTATTTGCCGTCGATTCGGAACGTCGATATCATAGAGCGCCACGGATATCCGCAGTTGATTCAACTATATTTGTTACTGATGCCCATGAAATTTGCGCTGAAAGAACAATATACTGCCTTTGGTTTAGTGAGATGTAACGTTGCATTAAAAAAACATTGAATCGACAGAATGTTTCTAAGATAAGAATTACGTTGCAATACAGTCACGGAAATTATAAGGATTTCTCCAAAATCTACACAACCGTGATACTTTTAGAAAAATATGAAAAAAATAAGACAAAAGCACTGAAGTTATATTATTTTGTAGGTTTATTATATATCTTTACATGTTATCCTTAATCTTACATATTTTAAACAATTTTTTAATCTGTACCATATCTATTGTTTTTTTATTATGTGGAGAGGAAATCTTTACATCTGTGAACATAACTTCTTGATCTAATCGGATAACTTGATTCCAACAAGAATCAATGATCCATGGCTATGCTTCCGTAAACATACGTCACAGTCATTTCATTTGTGTCAACGTACCCCAGACATTTTGTATTAAAAAGCTATATTTCTGTAATAATATATAATATATAATAATATTGCAATGACGGTTAACTAAATATAGAGATTGGAACAGAATCCAAAGTGACTTGAAAAATTTTAAACTTACATTATAGAATAGCACTGTCAAACAAATTATTTACCGCTGAGAAATTATTTGTCACTGTAATTTTCACAATAAGAAAGCTCGATAAAACTTCAGCATAATGAAAAATCAAACGACGCTAATGACACAACCGCACGCGCTTGCAAATAGAAACTGCCACTTTAGCTTCAACTGTTGTACACGGTAGACAAAGTTCACGCGCTGTCCGTCAGAGTTCAATAATTTACAGCCGAGGAACATGAGTACGTCACTTTACCTATGTCAATTTTGGTGCTTTTCCTCTATTAACCCCTTGCCGTGCTTTAACGAGTCTGACTCGTGATGAAAATTTTGGCCCAAACATGAATATGACGAGCCAGGCTCGTGAATAGATCGTCGGGCCAAACGTAAACATCACGAGCCGAGGTCGTGTACAGATAGTCGGATCAAACATAAACATCACGAGCCTGGGTCGTGATTGAATGTTAGTTTCTATCAGTACGCCACCAGAGTTAGTCACGAGTCTCATAATTGTTGTTACAAAGTAGTTTATATTATTATATTGAAATTTAATAATAAACCCTTACAAAATGCAAAATAAAAGAGGTTTAAGTGAAAGCAGTGATAATGAATCTAGTGATACTGTTCTATTGAATTCGTGAAATATAATTTTGTAACTGTTATCGATTACAAAATATAATATAGTATAATAATTATAATGTAATGAATCGATTACAAATAAATAAAAAATACAAAAGGTATTAGAGTTTATTTCCACAACAGCAGTATCGTGCAAAAGTGCATTCTATATCAGAGGCATTTACATTTCGGCTCGTATTGTGACCTTTCTCGCGCATCAGTCTGATCTGTTTACCACGCGTTGACACGTAACACTTGGGCCCGAGTTTTGTCGAGCTAAATGGCACTGCAAGGGGTTAACGACGGTTGATTGACGGCTTAAATAAAATATCCGTTCTATTGTGTCTCTTTGATGAAATGGCAGTTATCTCGGCGATTTTAACGGATATTAAACTAGGATGAATTTTTCTCGTCAACTTTGTAAGTTGAACTTTTAAACTTTCATTTGAAAAATTTGATGGCGACCTATTTAGGCGCCAATCGAAATAGTCTTTCTTGAATCACGAAATATTTATTTCGAGGATTTTTTGCGAAACAAAGTTGCTTGAGAGAGAGTTGAGAGAAAATTGAGGTGAATAAGAGCTATCGCATATCTAACGATTTCATTGTTGGAAAATTTTTACGACGGGCGATTTAATGAGACGGCGTAAATCGGCGGGAGTAAATTAACGATAAGTGAGTACATTTCCGACGCGGCAGCGATGTTTAAAATTTCGATGTTATTATCTCATCGTTATCGTCTCGCTTGCTTTTCTGCGTCCTTTGCTGGGTTTTTCCTATTCGCGCGCGAATGTGTGCGAGGTGTGATAAAACAGCAACATAACTCTTTCACCGCGTAACACCTTGAATGGCTTACAGGGGAAGCTCCTTCTTTATCTCTTTTCTTCCGACTGCCTCTCTGTGTCATCCATGACTTCTTATCTTTCGCATCGAACGTCTGTTTTTATACTCGAATTGTAGGAAGATGATCCCTCGCTCTTTGTCGCGCTCACTGTCTCATCTTTTTCGCGCGTCCCTCTTTCCCCCTTCGACGTGTTTAGCGACTGTTACGGAACCGTCGTTATATGTAATCCTTACGCAATCCAAAAGTATAAATAGCGTGCAGCGGGTGCGCATCGCGTTAGTAAGCGTCCTGTGTGCGATCATGTCACGTAGCGGCACTTATTCCTTTATTCTGAGATGCGCCGGTCTGGCGCTCATCGCCACGATCGTCGCGGCTGAAGGTGAGTTTCTAATCTCTCTGAGTCCTTAAAAAGTCCTTTCGCGAAAATCACGCCTTCGTATTGTATATCGCGGCTCGACGTACCCAAGTCGGAATTTTCGTTCTAGTTTGAGTCTATTTAGGTTCTACGTTAAATGTTCAAAGGTTCAAGGGAAAACTTAATGTAGAACTAAAATTTTGACTCCGAAGGACTAAATTCTCTTTGTAGTATTAAAGAAACGCTTACTGTGTTCTTTTGATGCTGCAAGTGTGAACTTATTTCGGTTTCCTCCACTTGAAGACTTTAGTGCGTTTAAAATTTCGACTCGAATATGTCTTTACGAAATATTTCACCGCTTATCTTCGTATATAGTCCCATTTTTAACCGGTTCTATTATTTTTAAACTCGCTTCTTACACTCTCAGCCCATTGTCGAAGGAACATGACGAGTATATATGAGTATGCAAAAGTGTTTTATAATAGATTGCTCTTTTCAAAACCTGTTTCTCAGCTGATGAATGGCAAAATGTTAAACGTTCCTCTTTTATTCAATTTCATTTCAGTATGGAAAGAAGCACGTTAAAGTAGTTGTATCATAGAGTGTAAGATTTCCAATGACGATATTAAGGAGTGGCTAAAGAACGTTTTTCGCTCTCCCTTTTCTATGACTTTACGTTTATTGAAACTGATGGCAAAGATTCGAGTCGCCAAGGTGGAAATATAGCCGACATTTATCGCTCGATACTTTCCGAGTGTCGCGATGACTCGATGCTTAAAAAAATAACATCATTTTGTCCCGAGTTAACATCCTTTTCTGTTCATTTTCGCGACGGATCGCGAAATTATCCTTTTATCGCGCGCGAGAGAACGAGAGCTCAGTTATGGTGAGACATCAAATTATTGTCTTTATTCGCGATGATCATTTCCTTTACTTCGAGGAAAATTGACCGGTTCTTTTTCTCGCGAAGAAACATGTGACGAGACGAAGTGCGCGGGCCCGTTGAAGTATTACAAATCGTTGGGCTGCCAACCGGTGTACGAAAAGAAAGGTGACTGTTGCGCGATAAGGTACAACTGTGATCATCTGAAGGAGCGATCCAAGGACAAGTGTTACGCCAACGGCAAGGCTTACGACATCGATGAACATTTAAAGGAGGAAGATGCGAATTCTTGCGACTTCGGTTGCATTTGCACGAGAGGACACGATGAATTGTAAGTGCAACGCTAAGTTCTCTCCTACTCGCGGATGTTTTAAGCCTTCGCCTTTAGATTCCGAGAGAGAAATCATTGAAAAGTGAAAAAACACGGGAGAATATTATTATTATTAGAGGAAAAGAACCAAAATTTACAGAAGTATGGTAAACCGACACACCCATGTTTCTTGGCTGTAAAGTATTAAATCTACTGCCAGACAGTACATGAATTTCGTCTGTTATGTATAGTAATTGGAACTAAAGTTCTTCTGCTTGCAAGCTTATTCTGTTGTGTTAATAGCGGTTTCCATCTACGCACATAAATTTTACGCACGTAGAAAAAGATTTCTTTAGATTCAGTATATGTGTTAAACTTGGGTTCGTTTAATATAAACAACATAATTTATTATCAAATATCACCTTTTTCGGATGAAAACGTTGTCGTTTCACTAGAGTAAACCATGTTGTTTGAGAAATGTCATTTGAGAAATCCAACAGTCCTGTTTGACGAATCAAATATTCGTCTGTTTGCTCCACTTCAAAGAAACCAATTTTTTTAAGTTGAAGAAATTTCGTTAAACCTAAAAAGATCTTCTTCCCCGTGCATTTTCAGTGTCCAATAACAAAGTAGCGTGTCGGTTTTGCCCCGCTGCGGAACATTTTCCCGGGAAAAGGGTGGCTAACGTCGTAATACGGATAAACGCGATTGATCGACGCGGTGCTTCGCGGTTTGAAAGGCGATCGTCGGATGAGGGAAACTATTTCCGAGAAATGCGTTCCCACGGCGGAATCGATTCGCGTTACGCCCCGGCGAATTCTTTTTTCCCGCGATCGCGAAGAGAGCACTGAAACGTCTATTTTTCAAGGCCGATTACGCGTTCGCCGACATGTTGCAAAATAGTTACGAGCTCCGATAAGAATTGCGAACGCGCACGCGGCTCGCGTATATGGATTCGTTACCGCCGCCGCCGCCGCGTTGTAGAGGAGAATTAGTTTTCGGGGCCGAATTTCATTCCGTATAGCTTCACTTAGTCAGATCGGCGCGGGCAAATTCTCTTTTCTCCCTTAACGCGTTCGATCGTGCGCCGCCGAATGGAAATATTCCGCCTAAATCGTCGCTTTATCGCCTAACGAAATTACTAAGTTCCATTTCACGCGAACTGCGTTGCTTTCCCGAACAGTGCCACTTTCAGTTGCCCTACCATCGACTGTTACCACGGACATGTAGAGCCTGGTTGCTACCTGAAGTACTCCCCGACCAAATGTTGTCCTGAACTGGCCTGTCGTAAGTAAACCGCGCGTTATCGTAAACGAACGCCTTCTTTATCTTCCCCTGAACGCGTTTACATTTATCTGCCGCGATGATTGATACCCGTACACTGAGAAACACATTTAGTTGAGTCAACTTATGCAACCTTATGCAATATCAATAATATCAGGTGATGACAATTTCTAGTCACTTTCGATCTGAAAATATGAACTCGAATATAGGATACAACGGAGAAGCGCGAATTCTCTTGATTTCTCACTCCTACTTTCTTTATCTATGCTGTTTGAAATTGTTCGCCCTAAAATTTCGCGCGACCAAGTATCGCCGAGAAAGAGAGAACGCGATAGTGTGCCGCTGTAAATGTATGTACGCGAATATTGACGGCATAAATAGAAATTCGTAGATACGCAGGCAATAATAGAAATTCAATTTCATACAATGTCATTTTTAGCGTGAAATCCCGAATTGTCCGGGTAATCGTACGCGGATTCGAGTAATCACATAACACACATATGCAAAACATATTATGCTACATTAAATAACACACTTGAATAACAGTTCAACGATTCAGTAATAATAACGACGCAATATATGATTCAATATGCGATCCGCTCACAGTAGCGAGATAATCGTTGTAATATATGTAATTATTTTTCAACGTCAATTCAGATAGCAAATCATCCAAAACTACGCCGAGTCGACATTTGGATTCTATCCTAATACGTTGACTGCTGCGCCGATTTTCGTCGAAATCATTTCGAAGCTTAACTAAATTCGGCTCGAATGACCAGAAATACAGCGGACAAAAGCAATTGATGATACATCATGACCTGATATCTGTTGGCCCATTTCGTTGGCTCTTTATTGACTGTGTATTATATTTAATTTGTTATAATATTTCCTTAATATCACAGTAGTTCAGAGTTGGATCAATTGACTTCTTTTGTGAAGTTAAATTAAAAGTTAATGGCCTACAGAATTAATTTAGTTAAGTTAAAAGTAACCTATGCAAAAACTAATTAAACTAATTAAACTAATTAAAGTTGAATTAAAATTAAATTAATTTAAAGTTAAAATTTAATTATGCAAAACTATATGTATATAGTTTAGAGGAAGAATAGTTAAGTTAATATATATTAAGTTATATATATATAATCTCGCACAATTAATTTCTAACTTCTAACTAAAGTTACTTTGCCCAATTCTGCAGTAGATTCTCTTTAAAATCCTAAATATGATTTAGAAGAAATAAAAATTAAACCTAAAAATAGGACATTAATTTCAAGGAACATATATAAAAAGTATCATTTCATTCAGTCGCGAATATATCTCAATTTTCAAATAATCAATCGTTTTCGAATTGCGTCAACAATTAGGTCAATCGTTTTCTAATTGCGTCAACAATTTAAATCTATATACAGTACAAGTTTCAATGAGTTTTTAAATAGCTTATTTATGCTATTACTTTAAATCGACTCGCAATACCCTGATGGCTTTAACTCGCCCCAGAAAATTCTTATTTGTGTACACGTAAACGTAATCACTATGCGAGGAAGCTGAAGATCGCGACCGGTGGCGAAATCCAATTAACGTGAGTGAAATTACCGCAAGTTTCGCAATTAAGCGTCGCTGTTCCAACGCTTGATGATTTTGCGATTACATTTTGCGATGTTAAGGCGTTGAATTTCATCCGACGACAATTAGCCGATAATGTCGGATGACAGTTATTTTTTTTTATATCAGCACCCTGCGGTTGTTCAGAATCCAGTTTTCCAAGCTGATGATCCCGTCCGCGAAATGTCGTAACTAATCGCACAATCGTGAAGAGGAGATAACGAGAAAGCTTCCCTGCTCGTTTTTGTCTCGCAACCGCCAGCTTCTTCTCTCAGATCTGAAACAAACAAGAGTATTTCCAGTTATCGCTCGTTATAATTATTTATGGATAAAAAGGTTATCACTCGACATGCATAAATCAAAAATGTCGGGACGTATATTTTCTATTCTAAATGCAATGAAAATCACCGAATGTTGCGCTATGTTATCTTTTCTATATTAAAACGCTGTCGTAACGCACGATGTTCCTACATGGAAAGAAATAATTTTGCTGTTGTAGTGAAACTATCGTTGTTACCACATATTCGTTGTAGCAGCGATAACATTTAGTTGACATAATCAAAATATCATTCGTAATTAGAGCAGAAACAGTTTTATCGATAGAAAATATTCTGCTAAATAAATTTGTCTTTAGTACAAGTTATTTGCTGTTAAAACAAAATAATATTCCCTTAAATTTACTAATTCGTTCTTACAGCAAATTAATTTGTAGACTCAGCAAAATAATTCAGCAAACGGCAATTAGTATTCTTAAGAAACCGTTTTGCTGTTCATGTAGTAACTGACGGATTTTGTTGCGACAGTATAAAATTTGCTGTGCCAGAAGTGCTTGTCTGAATATGGGCAAAGAAATATTTTTGGTTCAAACAAATGGTTCAGAGAATCAAAATTTGGTTCTCTGAACCAAACCTTTTTCATTTTCGTTTGGGAGATCCAAATCTTTGATTTTCATAATCAAAACATTTGTTTGTCCATATCTAAAGAAACATTTTGTGTGAGTCAACTAAATGGGTTTTTCAGTGTATCCGTCGTACAGATTATTACGATCGGATAATTACAATTCCGTTTTGGTAATTATTCGTTCATTATTTTTAATCGTTTAACTCTTTTTTAATCGTTTAACTCTTCATCGTAACTCTCGAAATCGAAAGACCACATCGAGCATTAATTGGACCGGCTTGAAGAAGAAATGAAGAGCTCAGGTGAAATTATCATCTCAGCTCCTGGGAGGCTGCTGATGAAACTTCCTTTGTCAACAACTTTAAGAGTTATTAATGATGAAATATTTAAGCGACAAGGAGAGATTAATCCTGCATTGGGCACACTTTTTCATACATGTTAAATTAGGTACGTTTCTCAGCAGAGAATCCGGAAACGAAAGCGACCTGCGTGGTGGATGGTAAGACTTACCTTGAAGGGGAGCCTTTCGAAGTAGCGAACGACCCAGAATTGACCTGTGTTTGCCTACCGGGATACACAGGTGAGGAGAATTTCACGACGATTGTTTCGGTGCGATGCGCAAGCGGAAACGATTACGTTTGAATCGTCGTGAGCACGGGAGATCCTTTTCCCGCGCTTCAAGTGGCGACACTCAAACGTTTACAAACGTTTAATTACATCGCTAACGCAGGGCCCCCCGTGTTTCCAGGTGAAAATATCGCGCCCTTCTGCGCGAAACGCCCACGCTGCGATCCTTACTTACGCCACGTGGCCTACGTTCAACGGTGTGCACCGGTTTATCTCAGCGAACAGACGCCTCGAACTGCTTGCAATTTCCTTTACAGATGCCGTGAGTATCGCGCGGGAATCGTCTCTCGCGCGTGCGGAAATCGCGAATCCGTGCCGTTTTCGCGATCTCCTCGCGCATCTAACGATCTCGTTGAATTTTCAGCGCACGAAAACGACGAAGTCATTCACACCCACGAATCCCACGAGATACCCGAAGGTACGTGTAATTTCTGCTAATCTTATTAATTACGTTACTTCCCTCATTTCGGGAATTTAAGTTAAATCGTGAACGTCTTTCGACGCGAACGTCGGACAGGCCGTGCGTGACAGCGATCTATCTCGATGATTTATCGAACTGTTTTCATGCTTTCAGAGGAATGTCATTTCGGCAATTTGACGCTACATCATTACGACGAACTGAATCGGAGCTCAAAGTCCACGAGCATGTGTACTAAGTGCGTATGCGAGGTGCCACCTGCGATTACCTGCGTGCGGTTACCGGCCGACGAATGCAACAAGTAATGAATCACTCGCTGTCTCGTCGCTGATTAATCGTCGTAATTATATATGCTACATATGTTATAATCAGTTTTATCGTGTGCACCCGAATCGAAATTTTATTCCCACATTAAGTACACTTGGTTCTACGTTAAGTCTTCAACTGGAGAAAACGAGAATGACTTCCCGTTTGTGGCAGCAGAGGAGCACAACGGAGGATCTAATGAAGACTTAATGTAGAACCAAGTAGACTTAATGTAGAACTAAAATTTCGACTCGGATGCCGTGGCTCGACGTAATATTGTATCGTGTGAAATAGAAGGGATCGTGCAAAATAAGAGAATTCCTCATTGTATGAGGAGTTACACGAGGAACACGCTGTAACACTGAAGGTAACATGGAAATACACTCTGTTACGTCAATTATCAATGCGCGTTATATTACGAAACAAGCTCTGTTTGGGCGCTCTGTTTAATCAGATGCGCCTGATGAATCCCGACGTAATTTGCGGCGTGGAAGTTCCTCGGAACGAGAGTCGACGATCGTTCGTGGGATGATGGTTTGCGACCGCAGATACCGTCGCTGCCGCGGTGTTTCAACCGTTTTCTCGAATCGAAATTTTCACGCTATTTTGACGTTCTTGGGGGTAGTTCGCGTCTACTCAGGTGGCTTATAGACTAATAAAAACCTACTTCGGCGACACTGATATTTATTCATTTCTTCTTTCAACCATTAATTCGACACCTGTTTAGATGCTGAAACCGAGAAAATAGGAATTAGAATAGACAGAAATTTAAGACACCAGAGTCAAAGTAGGAGTAATTTATATCATTAAAATTGAAATTGAATCTATTTTACTATCTTAGCTCCTATCGTGTTATATAATTGAAGTTTTAACCTAATGACCACAGTTCCGACTCGAGTTATCGGGATTATCATTCACGCTGAGGCTAATTGCTGCGCGTCGCGCATCTCTTCTATTTTTTCAACGACCTTTACTCCGCATTAATTCCTACCTTCTCTGACGTCCACCTTTCCTAAAAATAATTTCACAACTCGCGCGCGCACGCCAACGAGTGACAGTCGAGCGGAAAAGCGCTCGAGAAATTCCGATTCGAGGAGCGATCCGAACAATAGAAGAGAACGTCCTGGCTTCGCGACTCGACATGAACGTGACTTCTATCGGTTGCAGGACAGAGTGAGAAAAAATAGAGGGAGAGAGAGAGAGGGAGGGAGGGAGGGAAGAAGGGAGGGAGAGGAAGAGAGTGCGGAATCGTACGCCGAGCACGCACTGCAAACTCGCCGTAAACGACCTTTCGGGATGACAATAAATCGGCTATATTAAGTTCCGCTTAAGACACGGCCCGGCGTGTCTGGAAGTTACCGGAAGTAGGCGGCGACGATCCTCAGGGTGCCGATGAAATATGGAAGGTGGTAGAGGAGGAAGAAGCGTCGCTTCTCCGGAAGTTGTGCCGTCGGTTCGCACGACTGCGATCCGCTGTAAAATCACGAACGACGGACAACTCTCTCTCTCTCTCTCTCACTTCTCGACAATTTCATTAGAATGAAAGAAGAATCTTTGGGAGGACGGCAAAAAGAAAGAGAGTGTGAGATCTGCGAGATTGGTTGAGAAACACCCTGTGTAGAAATTGTTCGGAACTGATACCAAAATTGGATGCAGAATCGAGCGAGGGGAAAACGGGGAACGTCTTGACAAAACGAAGTCGCGACACGATCGAAGCTCACAAGCTATCATTCGTTCAGAATGTGATCGCTGAAAATATGATTATCGCGGGAGAGAACGGCCGCCAGCGACGCGAACCTAAGCCGTTTCACCCGGCGGAATAAATGGCGAGTAAAATCGCGGATGTCCCGCGGAAGAAGGAAAAGTTACCTCCGCGGAAATCGCCGTCGCACTGTACAAATTCCTCGGAGATACGCCGCGACCTCGCCGCCGCCGTAGCGTGTGTGAATCTCCATATTTCCCGGAGACGCGCTTCTCACGTTACGCGAGGATATGGAAATGCCCGGCGCGACCAAGACCGAGCCGGTAAATTCCGCCACTCGACTTTTAAGGCCCGAGAAAACGCGACGCGACGGCGTTGGCGGAAAAAAATTTTACCACCGACGACGACGCAGAGGGAGCAGACGCGTCTTCTCTTCTCCTATAGGGTCGACCCCCATAAAGCATCGTTTATATTACCGTCGAACCACCCTCCCGTCACCTCGACTAGCCATCGACCGTGCTAATGCACGGGTAAAGTCCCGACGAGAATGATGACATACACGCTTTTATTCGTCTCCGTGGAGCGACTCGTGCACTCTCCCCCCTTCCCCCTCGGATAAAAAATCCGAGCGATCTCATCCTCGGGTCACTCAGCAGCCGATAGTCGCGTTAATGAAATCCGATGCTGAGCATCGCGGGAAATTCTACTCCGCTCCGCAGCGGTATAAATAGATAACAGAGGGAGCTCTTTAATCGATTCGCCGCGAAGTTTATCTTGAGAGAGAGGGGGAGGGGCATTATTTATTGCGCACTCTCTGGGATTCAATTGCCTTGAGTGCGTTTAAAGAGAAATTTTGTTTTATATAAAAATTTGCATACAAACCTGGGAAAAATTCAGATCTAATTATATATAAATTTGTATAAATTTTTAGTAATTATGTATAAATTTGTAGATATAATTATATATGGGTTTTTTTTATCTAATCGAATCGTGCATAAATATTAGGTGCTTGAATTAATTCTCGCTGTTGACTAATAGAGGTCAGCCATTGCCAAACGTATAACTCCGCATTTCTCTTTATCTTATAATGTATAATTATATCAAATTTGTTATAATTATATGTAACTAGATAAAATCAGACATAATCGGCATTTCAATCTATTACGAGTTTCAAATGTAATCAGATCTGATTATATATAATTAAATATATTCGTAATATCAAATTCAAATTAATAGGGAGTTATAAACATTTTGATAAGACCGTGTGTAATTAATATCAACAAACATTATAAATAATTATATGTAATTTGAAATACATTGTATATAATTATATATAAATCTTTTTCCCGAGAAAATTGGTGAATAATAATTCATATGGTTAATAGTTAATTTACATGGAACGAACCATGAAATACGGCGTGCTAGTAATTATAGATCAATAAAGTAAACTAAAATAAGATATAAGGAAAATGAAAAATGAACGTTAATCAAGATTGACCGATACCGGGATATTAGAGAAAGGAAGAAAGTGAGCGAATCAGAGGCGTGATTTATGCTGGATTCCTTTCAAGCGAGAAAGAATAGAACTTGTCTTCGAATTCTCGTCAATAGTGCGCACACTCTTGACTGTAGGAAAAGGATTGTCCCAAAGCTTAAGCGTGTACGAAATAAAAGAACGCTTGTAAAACTTTGTCCTGCGTCTGAGCAATTTCAAAATATCTCCGATATTTCTGATCCTCCTATCGGTTACCTTGAAAAATTGCTTAAAATTAACAGAGAGGAAGTACGGTCTCCGCGTTTTGATTATGTTGAAAAGTTGGTTCACAGCGAAATAATCTCTTCTACCCTCCGTTTTAAGCCACCTCGGTTAGAAATTATTAGAGAAAATATAGAGAAAATTAGAGAGAGCGAGAGAGAGAGAGAGAGAGAGAGAAGTGAGGAGGGTTAACTCGTTCGGGATATTCAATTATCGGGATATTAACATCGGAAATTACAGAAAAGTTTCGCGGGACGAAAGTTCGAATATCCCGCCGTCGTCAACCACGGTGGTCCAGCGGTCATTATTCCGTAAAGACGTGCGAAAAAAACTCGGGCGTTTCATATTCCCTGCGATTAAAATGCGCGGTGTCCCCTCCGGCTTCTCCGCGTTGAGACAACTTCTTCATGGAGGAACGCGAATGTCGAAAGCAATTCGCGAATCACACGGAAAGACGGAAAACAAGGGGGATTGGAAGGGGGGGGGGGGATCTTAGTAGTTAGCACCCGCATGGACGCGGCCCGCATGTAAAACGAGCGGCGCGCGCTCCAAGAAACACGTCGAGCGAACTGATTAGCTGATGGATCGCCCCGGCTATCGGGACAATCCGGAATGTACCGACGGCGAGATGGGTTCGAGCGAGTCCGAACAATGCCGGTCCGCCGGAACTAATCCCGCCATTGTCGTGCTAAATTTCTCCACGAGACGCATACTCCTCCGACGTAGTTCCGCCCTGTACACGCGATCGCGTATCTTAGGCTGCCCTTGATATTGGCTCGTTCGATCGCAGCTGAATTCGCCGGATCGAAGATCCAGGGATCCGATTATCGAATCCGCGCGAAAACTGCGCGCGCCCCGCCTCCGGGAGCATCGACGCCCAGGTTATAAATAACTGCTGCCGGAGTACCGGCTCGGTATCAATTTTAGGGGACAGTTTTATACCGGTTTGATATCGGTGGAATATTTTAAAAGCACTAAAAAATTACTAATTCCCAATATAGGAGCAATGCCGATTCCTAATAATGATGATTATTACTGTAGAATTAGTAACGTACTGTGTAAGAGAGAGTCAGAGAGATGTGAAAAACGTCGGAGCGAGACGGACTCGGCTGAGATCGAAAACTCAAGTCTTCTCGTTTGCTGGAGAAGTACTCTTATCATTTAGGCTTTATGTTAATGACATTTTCTTTCTTTAACACGCTTTCTTTAAAATATTGTTATCGTATTGTGAAATTCATATGAAGGAAGGGCACTGAAACTGATATAAATATGAAAAGTCGACATGTCGCTTTTGAGGTCTCCAACTTCTTAAAAAGTAGTTATTTGCAGGACAGTACTTAAGAATTGTTCAAAACACTACCATATATTTTATTAGTATTTATTAAGTATTCATTAGTAGGGAAACGTTGCTGCTTTGCATCCACGAGCACGAATTTTCATTTGACACCTTCAGCAGAGTCTCAGAGCCTAGAAACAACATGGTATGCTCTTCTTTCACCGAATCGGTTTCCAATACAGGCCGAATGTATACAAGATTCTCATATGCGGGGATATCGGCGGTGTTCCCGAGATACGACGAGCATCTCGCACGCCGCCGGAGTTACGTCGGCCACTCGGCAAATCGCGGATTACTTACACACCTCGCGTACCCTCAGCAGCAGCGACGGAGGGGCTACAAAGTCGCCTGGCCACGGAATAATTCAACGGAAGCGGGCGGACGTGAAAACGGGAAAAAGCCGGAAACTTTCAGTTTATTAGCCGACGGCGGACGCCCCGTCGCCGCTTATCCATTCTACTACCCGGCCCCGGCGGTCTCCTCAAAGTGGAATTAACCGCGCGGAAGAGCCACTGTGCCGAGAGGAGGACGAGCTCCGAGTAACGCGGCCGAAGTACAACCTCCGAGGTTAGCCTGGTTCCGGGCTGCACACCGAAATTTAATTAATCCC